GTCTAAACAGCTTAAATTGCAGCTGCTTTTAGGCTAGATAGCTGCTACAGGTTGCTCAGTCACGGGCCACCCGGACAGACCTGAAATACTCCCCAAAACATCTCCTAGCGCCACCATTGAGGTTGACATTTGGTGGTCTTTGAGTGAAAAATGTCAATGAAACGTGTTCAGTTATGATGAAGTCCTGGTACCAGCACACGCAGCGAGCGACGCGTGACCTGATGACTGGCTCCCCTAACTGCTCGCTCTCCGCCCCCATCGCAGGCCGGAAAATCTTTTCTTCCGCAATACTGGTTCCCTTTGATTTATGACCAAATACCTGAAAAACTAATGAATGTTTAGTGCTGATTAGCAAATGTTATCATGCTAACTAGAGTTGCAAAAATGTGTCATTAAATCTAAATAATAAAGCTGTCAACTATCAAATTAATTGCAAACTATTTTGATAATAATTTGTCATTTTATAAAGAATTTTCTTTTCCAAATTCTCTGATTTCAGCTTCTTAAATGTGAATATGTTCTGATTTATTTCGTACTTTATAACAGTAAACTGACAAAACATTTGTTTATGGACCTCGGTATTGATTTATTAACAAACAATCAGTGCCTGACTCTTTATTAATTAACTGAATGTATTGTATCAGTGTTCATATCCAATGCCAATCCAATAACAGATAGATATGGATGATGATGATGAAGTTGCCTACTGTACCTTTTGATGGAAGTATTTGTGTTGGTAATGGTGCAGCGGCTCTCCGTCCAGCAGGATCTGTCCCTCTTGGGGTTCGTAGAGTCTCTTCAGGAGGCTGACACAGGAAGTCTTTCCACCCCCGGACGGACCCACCAGTGCTGTCATCTTCCCTGGCTGAAGCTCCAAAGAAACCGACTGTGCAGAACATGTTAATGATATAAAGATGAATTAGTGGCTGTTAAATGTTTAACCACTCTAAACACACAGTGACACTACAGGGTCAAACCTTCAGTGCCGGTTTCTCTGGAGGAGATGAGGGATATGTGAAGCTGACATTTTGGAAAACTATTCTTCCCCGCAGCTTCTCCGGAGCCAACTCTCCGTCCTTCTTACACTGTGGTGTTCGGTCGAGATAACCGAACACTTTGGCGATGACTCCGACTGTGGACATCGTCTCTCCAACGCAATACAAAATCTCCTGTTTCAAAAATCAAACAATCTTTATCAACAGCAGTTATTATGTATTTTACAACTCAAGTGCAGTGTAAAATATCTGTATCCCAGCTCACCCTTAAATTGTTGGACATGGGCTTCTGGTACAATATAAAGGTCACGAGACTGCCGATGCTGAGTTGATCTGATGAGATGAGACTGCGGGCCTGCACCAGCATTAATACCTTTATCCCCAGACTCACCAGCTAAATGGACAAAGTACATAGAGAGGAATTACTCACAGATTACACAGGCTCCTAAAAAAACAAGGGCCAAACAAAGGTTTTTTAGCATTATTGGAGCAGGTCGTGTGTACAGAAGACCACTCCTGCCAGGTAAAGAAAAAAATAGATGAAATGTTAAAAAAAATTACAAACATAAAATTATAAAAAAGATTAGATTAATTATATAAGTCAAAATGAAACAATTTTGACTTTTTATCTAATAATTTTACTTCCTATCTCATAATGTTAACTCAGGTTTAAATTCTTATTCATAATTTTGACTTAATGAGTAAAAAGTTAAACATCACAGTGACTATCTCAAAATTAAAACTTCATTAATTTTGGTCAAGTCAAATTTTGCCTTACTATTTCAGAATTATGACCATATATGTCAAAATTCTGACTTATTATTTATGACTAAGTATATCATATTTTAACCTTGTAAGTCAAAAACATTGATGTCTATAAACATTTTGACTTTATAAAGTTTAGATTTTGAGTTAATATCTCTATCTAACATTAAAAAAAACTATATTTTGATTTTCTATCTCATAATACCATTTATTGACGGTACATATTTCATATTTTCTTCTCCTGGTGGTGAGCCTCGATACAGATGACCATATAATGATTTGAAAGCCCAACATGTTGTCTTGCTTCCTGGATAAATCCATCCATGGATGTGCTCGTCTGCCATCTTACCCTCTTTGTTAAGCCAAAGACTGCACTGTAGATTCCTGAACGTCTCTTAATAGCGCACATCTGCTCCAGAGCCTCGTTATACCTCCTCAGTTCATCCGTCTCTGCCTTGAAGCTGCGGACCGTACGAATCCCGCTGATCGTCTGGGAGGCCAGGTCTTTGTTCTTAGCCTGACAGTCCTGGATCTGATCTTTCAGCTCCTGTTAGACAAAGAATACACACTGATTCAGAAACAAGAAGCTGCACAGGAACAGACTGAATGTTGTTTTTCAGTATCTTTTAGCATTGGAGCTCCCCTTGCTGGTGTTGTGAGCTGAGCTATGATTTATTGTATGATACTTCTATGTTTAAAGCTTACTGAAAGGCCACAATCATGGTCTAATAACTGTAACCGCTTTGCTTCTTTATCTTGGGAGGTGGGAAGAAGAAAGTCTCATTTCATATATATTCATAAATATTTAAAGTAACACTGTGATGTTTGAACTGAACTACTGTTGGATATTCACACCTACCTTGGACACAGTGATGTATTTGTTCTGCAAGATGGCCAAGAGCGGCATCTCTATGCAGGTGAGCAGTGTGAGCTCCCAGGACAGTTTTAACATCACCACGAGCATGAGGCCGGTTTTGACCGTGCTGCGAACCATCGCGTTGGCGTTCAGCGCCACCGTGCGGCCCATCCTGTCCACGTCAGAGTGCAGGCGCGAGGAAAGACTTCCTGAATAGTGAAAGGGAGAAAAGACAGATGTTTGTTTCAGATTATGGAGGAAAAGTCAAATTGGTTCCACTTTCTAGAAGGGCTCCCATTTTAAATGGGTTATAAGTTGTAACTAATAACTTTAGATCATAAAATAATACTTTATGGGTCAGCTAAGCGCAATTAATAAGAACTAATGTGGACTGTTCTTTTAGTGAATGAGGAACACCTCTCCAATGGACAGTTTGACCACTTACTAGTGCATACTTGTGTCCAAATACGAGTGAAATCTTCTACTTATTATGAAATTTGGTACACACATTTATGCCCCCCTTGAGATGATCCTATAACTGCTCCTCTAGCGCCATCATCAGGTAAAAAAATGAAAATGTTTTCCCAAATACCTGCAAAACTAATGACACGAAGGTCTAGTGCTAATTAGCAAATGTTAGTATGCTAACACACTAAACAAAGATGGTGAACAGGGTAAACATAATCACCCCTGTGTCCAAATACAATGATATTTTAGACCGTATTGTGATTCTAACAGTGTTTTGTCCTTTCCTGTTTCCACGTCAGGTCCATAAATAAAAGTTTTTCCCAGTTTAGTGTGGAAAAACTTGCACAGAGCTCCATCCAACACCTTTGGGATGAGCTGGAGCACGAACTGTGGGCCAGATGTTAGCGGCAAACATCAGTGCTGGACCTCACTGATGCTCTCCTGTCTGAATGGGAGCAAATTCCTGCAGCCAGGCTGTAATATCAGAGGAGTGGAGGCTGTTAGAGCAGCAGATTTATGTGTGAGTGAAATGTTCTTTCCATCTGCCTCGACTGAAAAGCACTGGCTTAGCTCCTGTTGTTTTTAAATGAGCTATTTAAAATGTACTGACTTGACTATGTAGAAAACGTGTCGTGTCCACAAAAATATGCCCCACAATAACAGACGTGAAGTGTGTTTACAGTGTTCTCCTCACCAGAGCTGTTCTGTTCAAAGAAGTGCACTTCCTGCTGCAGGAGGGTGTGAAACAGCAGATGCTTCAGTCTCTTGTTCAGTCTGGCCAGGGTGCACATAAATATACCTCCTCGTAAGCCAGAGAACAGAGCACTATTGAGATGGAGACATTTAATCAAATTTTTTTAGGTAATTGTGTTGTTAGTGAAATCACAAAAGGACAAGAGGATATGCAAACAGTTTCATTACCTTCCAAGAGAGACAAGTGTTAGCTGTCCGATCGCATAAAAGAAGCCGGATTGAAGTACTTGACCTCTTAGCATATCAATAACCTTCCCCTGGTACAGTGGGATAAACGTATCACCTGTTAGGACAGAGGAATGACACAGATTACGTACATGAAATGTTATATACAATGATCTTCTATATTTCTCTTATTTTCAGCAAATCACATAAAAACACCAAAACCAACAATAAACATGTCCCACTAAAAAGTATTGTGTGTATCTAAAGCCTGATGTATCTTTATTCAATGAGCCACACTGTTGCACCGGGTCCCTTATTACCATGAATCTCAATCACACATATACCATCCTGCTGCCACAAATATTCACTAGAGCACAAAATGTGGATTAATCCGCATCTTAAAATAGTCCCCACAAATATACTAAATTACTCCTGTTCGAGTTACGTAAAAAAAATACAGTTACCAGCAGATTTAGGAAACTACTGAGCCTTTTTTAATATGAAATCCTAAATTTGTGAGCTGTTTTTAAAGATTTAAGTTTTCAGTAAGAACCAATGTCTTTCAGGCTGAGGCAATAAGAAGAATACAGACAGACTTCCCCTTTAAAATCTGTAGAGATTATAGATAGACAGATTATCTGGCATGTTGAGATACAACAAAAAATGTCTGCAGGCAGTTTCTCAGTGTGGTTGCTGTGGAACGATGTTAGCGCCCCCTCCTGTGAGTGAGAGGTGGTGAAAAGGTTGGTATCTATATATGTATATTTATAGCAAGTTTTAATAATGCAGTTGAATAACTTAAATACCAGAAACCTTATGTATATTTCTGTTTCACTAATTAATAAAAAATCCATCTATAAATAACCAAGTATATTAGATTGTAATGTGGATGGAATAATAGAATTATACATGATTTTTCTTTGTTTTTATATCAGCAATCAGTCGTCCTGCTTTCTAACTATCAGCTACTGAAGAACCCACATTGGTCGACCACCATTAGAGAGCTGAAACAGTGTGTGTGGGGATGTAATAACTGTACAGTTCTCAGGTTTTTGCAGACAGGAATGCTTTGATCTTATAAATGTTCCTGAGCTGACAGAAATGTGACAATAATCTAATAAAAGGTTTATCTTCATTAAGCTGCACAAAGTCTGAGCCACTCACCATGTCAGTGTTAAGAGGGTAAAGAGCTTTAAAATTGAAACTGTAATGTTAACTGACCTAAGAGTCCTGTCCCGCTGCTGTAAATACAGCACTGAATGTGGATTTATCCACTGATGTCCCCAACAAATGCACTATTTATTCCACTTTAAGTAGCATTTCATAAAAGCTGTTTTAAAAAAAATGACTGAGCCTTTTTTTTAACAAATTAAACTATATATTTGTGACCCTTTTTTTACTCCAGTAGGAACTTTGGGGGTTTGAGTGTGGCAGATGGAGTAGGGTAGTAAGAGAGTCTTTAGAAACAGGAAACAGTCTTTTCATGGGATTTGTTGACATCAAGAAATATTTAAAATACAACCTCAGACTTTAAAGGTTTTCTACAAAAAAAGCAGTAATGCAGCAGATACAATGTGAAGCTAATCAGGCATATATGCAGAAGTACTATATGAAATATAATGATGATTGGTATGTTTCATACTTACAGACGACGCCTAAGATGAGGAAGCTGAAAGCTGCAATAAGGTAAAAGGTGTCTGGTTTGAAGTATTTCAGCATCCTCAAGAGCAACCGCTTCGCATCCAGCTTAGCGTCGACCTTCCTCGTCTTTCTTTGACCACTGAGGCCCTTTTCCCAAACCACACAGGCCAGTGACGAGGACATCGGGCCCAGGAGCAGTATGTTGAGGTCGGGATTGGGTCCCATGTAAGGCTCTGAGGGAGGCGCCGTAAGGAAGCGTCCACTTTCAAACGCAGGACAGAGGAGGCCGAGGAGCGCTACCAACCTGCAGAGCACAGCCGGGGGCTTTCCATCAGTCAGCTTGGAGGTGAACAGATGGAGAATGGCCCACTTCGCTGCCCCAAAGGCCCACACGCCTTCCAGTCCGCCACAACCGGAGCAGCCCAGCAGCACCAGTAGGGCCCACTGTGCCGAACACAGCACCGCGTCGAACAGAAGAATGAAACATCCACATGCTGCCACTTCGTTCATCTTCCTCTGGTGGGCGGTCGGTTGCAGGAGGTTGAATCTGATCCTAAAACAACAAATATTCCTGTTATACAGTTTAAATCTGATGGCACATTAACTACTGCATTGAAGTACAAGTCTGAGGTACTTGTACTTTACTCAAGTATTTCCATTTTATGGATGTTGATATGTTCATATAACATTCAAATCTTCATATATATACTGTATGTTTTGTAATAACTCTAAATAAAGAATAAAAAATTCTGCAAATTCCAATTTAAGTTAACAAATAAATATAGTGGAGTAGAAAAAACACAATATTTGCTTCATAAATGTAGTGGAGTAGAAGTATAAAGTGGCATAAAATGGAAATACTAAAGTAAAGTACAAGTACGTCTAAATTGTATTTAAGTACAGTACTTAGTTACATTCCACCACTGAATACTTATAATCCAATAATTTATACTGAAATGTGCCAATATTTCTGTACTTGTTTAAGAGTATTTCTACATTGTGGTATTGCTATTTTTATTTAAGTAAAAGCTTATTCCAACATTGTTTTTATTATTATTATTATTATTAATTAATAACAGGATAATGTACATATATTCATAAGAAGTGGACCTACTACTGCTGTTTTTTAAAACCTAATTAAGAAAATATTCAATACATAAACTTCTAAACGTGTATAAATAAACCTTTCATCTTAAAATCTGCTCTTTTATTGTATACTTCATATAATAAAATTAATATAAAGATAAATTAAATTGTACAACATACAAAAGAAAAGACAACAAGAAAAATAAAACCTTCAGGGTCTGTTAAACAACTGGAATACATTATAAATGTATGTAATAGTTTCCGCCAATGTATTATTTATTTTGTTTTATTTAATTTATTGTAAGTAAGTTTTCAATAGTTGTCACAGTACTTATTACTACCTTACTTTCAACCACTACTATTAGAACAAAGGAGCAGTATTAAACTGGAATACTTGAGTAAAGTATAAGTAAGTACAATACCAGAGTAAATGTGCTTAGTTACTTTCCACCACTGGAAGCAGAAGAACAAAGCAGTATAAAACAGAAATACTTGAGTAAATCACAAGTAGCTCAATATTGTACTTAAGTACATTTACATTACAAACTGACTCTGAATATAAATATTAACCTTCCATATATATATAATAAATGTAGTGCAGTAAAAAGTCAGTTTGCAGAGTAAATGTACTTAGTTACTTTCCACAGCTGTACGCAGATACATAAAGCGATATCCAATAGATTATAATATAATATAATACTGGCAGCTGACAGTTAATACCTGTATAATTACAACATATTAAGGTCTTTTTACTGAACCATTATAACTTCACAGCCAACTGATTGTAGCTTTAGTCGCTAACGTTACTGTAACTACTAACTGCTGTAACATCGTAACAACATTACAGGTCGCTGCTGTCGGTTGCTGCCGATTCACGGTAGTCTAAAAAACCCTGTGATATATTAACATGTGCATGCAGTTGAGGTTTTAGTGTTTCATTTGGATGACTTACCGTGAGTTTCCCCCTCACAGTCCACGGTAAGCTAAAAGCTATCGGTGCTTTACTTTCACTTTCACTTTCAGCTGGTGACGCGTTGTTGACCTGTACCGGCTCTGTACGTCTGAAACCAGGAGAACAGACATAATATTAAAAACACTGGACTCGTCTCAGTTGTTTTCCCTTTTTTCCTCCGCTGTAAGTATGATAGATATTAAACTAAACGCTTCCTTTTATCCTTTTACACTCAACAGCAGCCCGTCGTTTCTCTCCACGGCCACAAGATGACGGCAGTTTATATCTGTGTGGAGGTTTTCATCTTTTTTTTATTTAAAAAAAACAACATTATTTACAAACAGGTAAACATAAACAATACATGAACAGAGAAGGTCAATAAAGTTTGGATTGCTTTCCTATTTATTTTTTTTAGTAAAATTTAGAGTAAAATTATTATTAGTAATTAAATTATTAAATTAGTTTGTAATAAAAAGCGAAAAAGATGGTTTATAATTGTTAAACTTAGATTTGTGGATGTGGAATTCTGCAACAGGAAGGCTCAATTTGATGATTTAATACTGCATTTACTTTAGGGGTAAGGAAAAAAAACAACTATACATTTTCATATAAAAAGGTCAAATTAGATACTTAAAAATAAAAGCACGAATATAATATTGTGCTTATATATACATATAAAAAGATATGGGGGGGACAAGACCAAAATAAATTATCTTTTTAATCTGGCTTTTACTTTTACTTTGGAGTAATGTTATAGCCTTAGTATTTTTAGGTTTATATCCAGTGGTGTGCCACCGGACATTGTTAAAATTACATTTTTATTTTAAAGGTCAAAATGTTGAGCATAAATCTGCTTCCATACATTTAAAATGTTAAAAGTTGCTAAAAATATCAGGAAAACTAGTCTCTGATCAATATTCACAGCAAATAATCTGCTCAAAATTCATCCAAATTGATAATTTTACACAAACTTCCTGCAATTACTGTGTTCACTGTTTGGGTTCATTGTTCAATTTATTAGTTGTTCTGTGCTGTTATTGTCACACGTTGAATATAATATGAAATATCAATAAAATATGTAATTAAGTCAGTTTACTTAATGATAGAAAAGGGCGTCCTTTAAGGGAAATGTTGGAAACCAGTGCCCTAAAAGGCCTTTATCATTCTGTTCATATATTCATATAAATGTGCTATTAAAAGACCACAAACTACAATAATTTCCATCTTTCCACAGTTGGTAATTTTGCTTTTACGTCAATAATTGTAGTTTTACAAGTAGTTTTTTAGTATGAGAGGGTAAATACCACTGTGGTGGTTTCATAGTGCATGAAAGAAATGTTTGGACTCACACTCACACAAATTCACAACAAAGGCAACTTTAAAACTCATTTTATTATTTTTCCCCCGATCACAATGTATAAATAAAGAATCTATAATAAAGGTATAATTTGGCCCAAAGCAAGACAAGCCTTTAAAAAAATGACTAATAAATCCTCTGATCGCTGGTTACACTTTTGATTACTGCAATACAGCTCATACCTGAAATGTGTATTTAATCTTTCAGTCACATGTGACATAAAATAGCTTTGTTCAAACCTGTGCAGGTGGTGTGATTATAGTCTCACTGATCTGAAGTCTGTCACATGAAGGTAAACTCAGTGTCATAAACGTGTCTGTTTTGAACATGTGAGACTCCTCCAGTCTGCTCCTCTCGTGAAATGATTGTTTTAGTTTTAAGCTGACATTCAACGTGAAATCATCGGTGTGATATTCATCCTGTGGTTGTGTGTAGAAACACACCAGTTATATATATCTATATAAAAAGGCACTGTTCCTTTAAGGAGTGAAAAGCTGGCGAAAACACAAAAACATGATTCATTACTGCTACTACAGTACGATTTCTAACATCTGACAGTGAGTGAAGAACAATATATATGCCTTCAATGATCTAAAGCGACCCATACTCAATAACACAAAATATGCTCAGCGTGTTGGGTTTAATGCCTTCACAAGTTATTGACAATTAAAGATGAGGAAGATTATTATATTATTTAAAGAATAATTCCAGTGATTTTTCTTATTCTCGAAAATCCCACGAAAAGACCAAAACCAACAATGTATATAAAGTCGAATATATGTTCTTCCTCTGCCATAGAGCTCCAAAAAAATCCTTTCTTCTTTACTACAAACACACTTTATTTTGAAATACTGAAACAGGCTGTAAATACTCACTAGAGCAGCAAATGTGGATTAATCCGCAGCTGAAAATAGTCCCTAACTAATACACTATTTTCTCCTGTTTGAGTAACGTTTGATAAAAGCTACATATTTATAAGCTGTTTTCAAAGATTTAGGTCTTCAGTAGAGACCACTGGGTGTGCAAGCAATGTAGTAGTTTGATATTTTAACTAACATTTACAACAACATTAGCACAACGTTTAATTTGTTACAGTCTAAAATTCACTGGGGAAGTCACTGTTAGAACTGTAATGGAATTATTAAGTACTCATATTGGCAAGCACCCAAATGTAAGTGCTTGTATTTAATCTCAAAAAAGTTGTAACTCAACGGCTGCCAGTGCATCACTTTCTGTTACAACTCCCCTAAATAGGTTGCAGGCAGCAGCTGAAACTCAATCTGCTGACAATCAAACGGCAGCACATAGTGTAGATGTGTGAAGTGTTTGCAGAGACGGTACCTTTAACATATCGATTTAGCCACTAAAAACCCTCTGAAATATGAGTTTATTAGTCGGTATTGTTTACGATGCTGCTGTATTTTGTTTATGTACAAACGGTACAAGCTGCTGAACTGGAGCGTAAACCAGGTTCAACTGGCACAAACTGGCCCTGTGCCGGTCTCGTTTTGAAGCGCAGCCAGTGTAAACAGGAATTAAGACTGTTTTTTTAAGGCTGCGATTATTAAGCCTGGTTCCAGACCTCTGATTCACTTCATATCGGTCTGGTGTTGTGTTAAATGATGGATATTTCTTTATTTCTTTAAGCAGGATTAAAGATTGTCTTTCATCACAGCTACAGTCATGAAAATTAGTGACAGAAAAATATCCGTCTGAAGAATGGCAGCTTCCCCAGAAGGGAAGCTGCCATGTGTGGTCTGCCGTCTGCACTTTGCATGATGGGAACTTCTTGTGTTATTCCACAAATGCTAACACATTGATGGTTTTGGTCTTTTTTTTTAGATTTGTTGAAAATAAAAAAAATAGAACAACAACATTATCCTTAGTTTAAAGTTCCAGTGTGCAACTTTTAAGAGGATCTATTGGCAGAACTGGAATATAATGTGTTTTTATTAGTGTATGATCTCCACTATCTACAGTAGCCCAGAACAGGCAATCGCTACGTAAGGCTGAGCTGTACTCAAATGGTTGCAATCTGTAACTTCACCACTAGATGTCACTAAATCCTACACACTGGTCCTTTAACTTTTCTACTTGCTTTTTTCTCACCCATTTCCTCACCCGTTTATTTCACTCATTGATATTAATGCTAAATTTGCTTGTTATTTTGATTTCAACCACTCTGGCTACTGTATCACTCTCTGATACCTACTCAGACCCACTCTTTGTGTCTGTAAGCTCATATTCTAATACACCAATAAACTCCAGCAAACATCCTGAAAGCATCTTGAGTGATTTCTACAAACAAAGATTCATGTGTGTCTCTTGGCTTGTATGATAAGATTGTGTGATCACATATATAAGATCAGCAGCATTTTACAAGAAACAGTACAATCACATTGTAGTTGTAAGTGCACATCTGTTAATTTTGGTACGTAAGATCAAGTGTCCAACCGTGGTCAAACAGTGCAAATCATTCATAGTGTTTGTTTAGACTTTTATGGCGTTCCAGATGCAGACCAGGCAGGCTGAAGTGACATTCAACCACAGAAAAGCAAACTTTGCAACATCTGGCGCACCAAGCAAGCTGGCACAAACATTAGAAAATAATCTGCAGGGCAATCTGACCCAGAGTGTGAAGCGTGCTGAGGGCGACACAGTGTACGCAGGGTTCAGACGCTGGTGATATACTCCGCCCCATTAGCCGATGCCTTGTCTCTGTCTACCTCTGTGGGTACACTGCTGTACTGACAGCCGGGAACTATGTCCAGAGCAGGTCTCGCTGTTTCAGGCAGTGCGGATGGTTGCCCCTGCTGTGACCACTTCCTGTCCCTTTTGTCCAGCCAGTAAAAAGACACAATGAGGAACACGGCGGATGAGGCAACGACGGCACTGCAGGCAAAGAAGACGTGGAAGTACTGGCCTGTCCTGTCCACCAGGACTCCTACAACAACAAGAGAAAACATCAGCAATGTCGGCATTTTGAACATTTTATTTGAACTATATTCTTATTTCCTAGAAATCAACAACTGTAAATAATAAGAATTTTTATGAAAAGAAGAGAAATATTTATAGGGTGGCATGGAGACAGAAATATATGCTGATTTAATTGCAAACAGTCTGTATATCAATATTTGTTTGAAAACCCCCCAAATAAAGACATTTTAACTCAAATAATTACGTTAATCTGTCGCATTAGTAAAGCATAGAACAGAAATATCTAAAGGTAACATTAGAAATTTCCACATCTTTAGATACTGTTCCAAATGCATTTCTTTTTCACTGAACTCAAGCCTAACACTGAGTCTAAACAGGGCAGGGTTTTACAGGATTGTTGCAGCCTAATATTCATGATTTCACAGCAGATTTTCAAAAAATTGTGATGCACGCTAATGATGATGATGTTTTTAGGCTTTGAAAATGTTTTTTTTGTATAATTCATTAAAACATTCAGGAAGCTGCAATGATTGGTCAAATCTGTGGTTGAATTTGCGTTATTTCTTTTTATCGCAACCTCCTGGAGCGACTGTCCAAAATGTGGCTATAACAGATGATTAAATTAATCCTGTTTTTTAACATTAACACAACAATTTGACACCAATCTGGGATGGCCAGGCATTTTTTAGACACTGCCACCCCTCTAGATCCGCCCCTGCTGAGACGGTAATAATTACTGGTAATAAAACTGTCTTTCACAGACATACAGAGCAGTGGTTCCCAAACAAAAAAATGACCAGAATAGGATAGGAAAGCAGAAGAAAAACTTTTCTTTCTTCAAACTCTCAACCTCAGAATTTTGCTGTTTTTGTAAATTACTGGATAATTTCAGTCGTTAAATGTATTCAAAGAAAGCAAGCGGTGGAAAAAATAACTCTTTGGTTGAACCTGTCACAGCCGGTGGAGACATGCAATCAATGATGAAGGGTTGCAAAGAGACATTCCTTCCATTCAAAGCGTCAGATGCCAAAAAGTATGTGGTGAGTATCACCTTTTAGGTCAACTGAACATGCAAAAATGTGGAGTTTGACTACAGGAAAACACGTATGAGAAATATAATTTAAATGGAGCTTTCCATAAAATTTGTCTGTTTTTGAACTCAGCACAACAATACACTAAAAACCGTCTCAGACATTGTTTTACATTATAATTAATACCAAATAAATAACAGGAAGCTTTGGGGGAATTAAAAGGAATTTACAGACCCATAAAATAAGATAAATAAAGTATAAGCAGACAGATTAAAAAGCAGCCCGTGTGTTCTTTGTTGACTCGTTTCAGTTGAGTGCAACCACATGGAAGAGCAGACGGTGTGTGTGTAAAGTGATTCTGTTGTGACTTGTGTCTGCCCGGCTATATAAGCAGTCAGATAAACAGGGGAAGCATAACTGTCATCTGAGACAGCGGAGAGCCTCTGCCCTTTCCCCGCTCGGCTGCCAATGAACACACACTTGCTGTGGTGCAATGTAACTAAGAACATTTACTACTAGTGCTGCACCTATGAGTCCGAAGTACTTCTGATTTACTTGAGTATTTCTGTTTTTCATGCCCTTCCTGTTCCTGTGCCAAAATCTGTGCATGTACACATCAGTGCAGCAGTAATATTAATCCAATATAACAGTAAAACACTGACAGGGACCATACTGCACTATGAGCACATTTTACTTTAAAGGGTCTAAATGCAGGACTTTTACTTGTAGTGGAGTATTTTCTGTGTGGTATTAGTACTTTTAAGTAAAAGATCTAAATACTTCTCTCACTACTGCTGACTCGTGTCTTTTGTTCTCTGTGTAGTGGCCAAATTGACTGAGAACATTTTGTTATTTACAGCAACAGCCTCGAGCAGGAGGGGCTGGCCCTTCTATTTCTGTATTTCTGCCATTCACATTAACACACGAGCAGAAACGTGTGCACAAAACACATGCACAATATAACTTTTCTAGTGTTTTTGAATCTATTTTAAAATACCCTTTTCTGATTTAAAGCAGAAAAGATCGCAGCAAGAAAGTAGACTGAGCTCCAAGGTCGCTCCTAACGGTCTGATACAAAGGTGTTAATATTTATCAGACGCAGAGCTGCTCTGGACGTTTCATTTCATTGTTTTTCAGAGCACATGGTAAATAACAGTCAGATGCTATCAGCAAGAGGTGATCAAAATCTAGAGGACACGCCCTTTAAAATCAGGCCATGTCCACCTCTGCCCCCGATGGACAGTGAAAGGTTCAGGTTGCGAATCAGGAGCGCAAGCTGCTCTTTAGCTGTGTCCCAGTTCCATACAACATACGTATCCAAAGCCAGTTTTGATTATGCACACTGGAAAAGTGGCTAATTAACTCCACTCATAAAACATTAATCTAGATATTAAACAGACAAAGCGGCTCAAAGCCAAAAAAAAAATTTAAATAAACACAAAAAAACACGATAAAAATAAAGTTTTAAAAGGTCCAGTGTGAAACATTTAGGATGATCTATTAGCAGTTATTTTATTAGCGTATAATCACCTGGAAATAAGAAGTTTGTTTTTTTACTCAGCCAATGAACCAGTTCTTCCCCCAGAGCACCTGAATAACCCATCAATCTGCCTGAACCCTGTGAAACTAGATTTTATGCAAGTGTGTTCTACATTCCCACCATATCTGTCCTCTCCATCTGGTGTTACCTGCCAGTGGAGGCCCAATGAGCAGTGTGATGCTCTCCATGATAGCAAGCAGGCCCAGAGCTGAGGGGAAACGGCTCATCTCCACTATATCCATGAGGACGGTGAACATCAGGGAGCCCACCACGCTCATGGACAGCCCGTAGACGACCACGTAAGTGATCAGTACGTTAAAGCTGGGCCCAATGCAGCAGATACTGTTACTGAGCCCGTTGACCAGCAGAGCTGAGGAAAATACATAGATGTGTCGCCCTTTGAACCAGGGCATGTTGAAGATGATGCCAAACGGCGGCCGCACCACGATGTTGACAATGCCCAGGATGGAGAGCAGCAGTGCAGCGCGGCCCTGCTCCATCTTGTTTGCTGTGGCGTAGGGAACCAGATACACCAAGGGAACCACAAACCCAAGCATCATCCAGGTGATGCCTATAGAGTACACACAGTAACGTGAGTTGTTGAGGAACTGATCAAAGGCCATGTGTTTGCTCATGGACGCCACCAGGAAGTTCCATATCGTTCTTGGCCAGCTTTTTTTCTTCTTAACACCTTCCTCTTCTGGCGGAGGGGGTCCGTGGTTCATCAGCGGCTGGCCTCGATGCTTGGGGGGCTGGAGGGGCCTCATCACTGCGCCGCACACGCAGCAGTTAAGCAGGACAGCCCCCAAAACGAGGAAACTGCCCCTCCAGCCCAGCTCTGTGTGGAGGTAGTTGCCCAGGACGGGCAGAGTACACAGTCCCAGCGCTGTGCCTGTGGAGGATATGGCGTTGGCAAACGCACGGCGGCGCACAAAGTAGTGCCCGAGGATCGTAACAGCGGGTTGAAAGCTGAAGCAGAAACCAAGACCTGGAACGATGAAAGAAGATCATTGATTTAAAAACGTATGCATGAATGAATGTGCAGCGTGTATGGATGTGTTATATCAGGACTAAACATATTCTGAACAACAACAATCTACTCTAAAGGTCTAGTTTATCACAACTTGGGTCTTATTTTTGCACCTTTTTAGCTAGATAAAATTGTGATTATCAAGTTATTTGCTGAGATCTGGGAATAAACTCTAACAATCAGTTCACTAAACTTATCTGAAAGAGAAAACTAAGGTGAATGCTAGAAATATAAAACTGTGAACATATATTTTGTTGTATTTTTTCTGCACACAAAATGTGTCATATTGAGGCATTATTACATTTATTTCATATGCACTCATGTTTAGTTTTACCTCCAAACACAAGTTGTTTTGACAATCTGGTTAAAGTGTTTGTGTGTGACTTTGTTTCCTGCCCTGTTGGATTTGGTTGTAGTTCCTATTCCCGGATCTGAGCAATTACTTTAGCAAATAAAATTTTGTTATAGCCAAAACTATGAAAATGTGACTGAAGTCATAATAAACTGGAATTCTCTTCAGTTTAAAATGGTTTTATTTGAAGTTTAAAGCTGCATTGCTTGTTTTTATTTGGCCACTTGGGGGCAGAAAACTCCACAGAAATCCCCAAAACACCAACTCTAACTTAACTTTTCTGTATTTAACTGTAATTTCTAAAGCTAATGTTTACCCATAGAGCAACATAAGCTTCTATAAAGAGTCCTACATTTGTCCAGATTAATTTAAGCCTAATATTTCAGGTTTGGCGTCCAACATCTCCTGAGAAAACTATCTGGCACTTCAGCTGCTAAATTGGTCCAAGCCTCATCGGCTGTTTGCCGGCCAGGTTGTGTGTAACCACGGTCATCAGGTGTCAGCTGGGCATGATAACTCAGCTGAATGCTTGCTGACCTGTAATAACCCCAGCTGTGATGTAGAGCTCGCCGATGGACTGGGTAAACGAACTGGCAGCCATCCCGAGCCCACTCAGGACTCCGCCCAACATGACAGTCGCTCGGCAACCAAGTTTCTCCACCAACACGCTACAAAAGGGACCTGTGGATCAAATGTAATGCTCTTAGTTTAAAGCATACCAGAGCAGACATGGGCAGAGGCGAGGTCATTCTTTTAATCCTGCAGCCAGTTTCACATAACTTGTGTTTAGCTGTAATCTGTACCAGCTGAATGAAAGTGCTGAAAGTGTGACTGAAAGTATGTTTGCTCTCTCAGTGTATGACAGATGTATGTGTGCATACGGTGTGTTTAACTGCAGCTGACCCATATAACTGTCAGTGCAATGAGATTTTGTTGCGTTAGCATCAAAATAGATTATAATTTCCCATCTCTACCACGTCATTTTACCTGAATTGCAGCTCATAAACAAATATCTTCACCTGAAGCCTCAGTACTAAAACCGGTGAGGTATATTGGATAAAGGTCACCGACTGGGGTGGTAAATTCAACACGCACTGGAGGTGCCTGTGTTGTTAGGCAACAGGGCTGTAAGGAATTGATGGGGATAATACCTGGGACCTAACTGAGCCTAAAGACACACACACTGCTTCAAGTGTTTAAAGCCTAATGTCTAACTTAGGTATTTTTCATTATTGCTGCAGTCAAAACTACCTTTGTTGAGTCCAAGACCAGGTCTAGTTAAAACTGTCGATTCCAAAGAGGGTCGAGTCCAACTCTTTCTCCTTAAGGGACCCCGACTTTATTCAACATATACAGAACAACTGATAACAGTGAACACAATAGCAGAAGGAAGTTTGTGTAAAACGAGAGATTTGGATCAATTTTGAGCATTTTTTTTAGATTATTGCCTTTGAATATTTCACTTTAAATTATTTTTAGGAACTTTTTATACAATCCTCTGTCTGTATTTTGTTTTGTTTTTTTATTTTTAACCATGATAAAGACTTAATTGGCTTGTTTTAGACCTAGCTTGTGTTCAGGTCGTCAAAGTTTAGATATTAAATAATACACTGTAATGCGGTAAGGTTATTTTGATTCAGAAAAAAATGTTGATACGGTTTACATAGAACATTTTTGTTAAAGATAAAAACATTCTTGATTAAGTACTTTTGACTTTGCTACAATTTTTGGAATTAAATTAACTAAATCTATCTAAACTTCCATCTAGTTTACTTCACAGAAGTACAAGGAAATGTTGAGATACAGGCCTACTGTGTATTTTTTTCAAGTTTTCTAGCACCCCTTAAAATCAAGAAGGCCTCGCGACCCCCCTATGAAGCTTTGGTGAGCCTTGGTGGGGGTCCTGACCCCCAGTTTGGGAACCACTGGTCTAGACCAAGTCCAAATGAGACAGACAGAGACAGAAAAGAAGAATGCTTCTGCCAATTAGATAAGTTTTGGCATCCAAGCATACGACTGCAAGTGATCGGCTGCCTGATAACCAGGTTCTAGATGGATTTTAAATGAAACCAGTACTGGTTTTCTGAACATGCTTCAACAATTGTTTTATTTTCAAGGATAAAGATACTTTAAAAAAAGAAAATATATTGCTGAACTCGGCCGAGACCAACTAGAATATTTGGTAAGACCAATGACCAAGTCTGAGACTATGCATGGGAAAACTTCATGTCACGATTATCTTGTTCAACATAATTGCTAAGAAACACTTGTTCTGTATTTTTGAATCTATACACATAGGGTTTAACTCTGTTTTGTCTTGGATACAATGGGAAAGCCGAGCCTTCAGCCATGGTGACAGGCTTAGGATCTTGGAATGACTGGAATGATGCGGGTTCCCTCTTGTCCAAAATAAGTAACTCAATATAGGACTGTGTGCTAGTCACATAAAGCCATGTGAGGATATTCACCAATATCACGACAATAGAAATTCAATTCAACACAGGAAAATAAAGTCCAGGTTGAAAAAATTTCCCTTAAAGTTTTACCAGAAAAGTTTCACAAAACCATCCTGTATGAATTTGGATTTGTACCTGGACACTGACTGACTCAAACTTTGTGAAGCTTAATGAAGATAAACCTGATATTCTTGTCACATTTCTGTCAGCTCAGCAAAATCTATAAGATCAAAGCATTCCTGACTCCAAAAACCTTGAGAACTGTTGAACTCTGAAGTTATCACGTCCCTCCACACTCTTGTAGCTCTCTGTACTCCTAAACTAGTAAGAGACTAGCTCACAATGCAGCAGCTTAAAGGAGAAACAGCTCACAAATATATGATTTCATGTTAAATAAGGCTCAGTTATTTCCTAAAACAACTGGTCAATCTAATTTTTAGCAAACGTTACTCGAACAGGAGGAAACAGTGCATTGTTTGGGACTATTTTAAGCTGTGGATTAATACCACCAACCACTCAAGTTGCAATTTACATCCATGTCTGTCCAGTCTCATGTACATAATATATGTAGACTTTAATAAAAGGTATTTTTGGCAAAGTTATCACTATATCGTCCTGTATAATGGCAGAAAAAACATGCTGTCTTCACTTAGAAACTATTTTTACAGACGAGTACAGAGGACTGATAGAGAGCTTCACATGGTGCAACGACAATTGGCTGAAGCTCAATATAAGTATAATTTGTGGTGGACTACCAGAAGGCCCCCGGTGCTGGCTGTCGTCCAGGGACAGGAAGTGAAGAGGGTGGACTCATATAAGACCCTTGGGGTCCAAAATCAATAAAAGAAAAACTGGACTTGATTCAGAACCGTTAAGCCCTCTTCAGGAAGGGACAAACTGTTCTTCCTGAGGTGGCTCAGGATATGAAATTGATTTGACTCAACTTTGATAAGCTTTGCTGTTGCAGCTGTTTGAAGTTCAATGAGAGAAACAAGTCAAACTCCATGTATGTGTGACATGTTCGGCAAATAAAGCTGATTCTGACAGAACACAGAGTTGGAGCCTTTAGACAAAGCTTCAAAATGTGGCTGTCGCTGCGAAGAAGCTATGTACACACATTTTTAGCAAGGTGGCCACCCAAGATGTGTCCCCCGTTAGGTTTCTGACACAATCTCCTCTGTTCCTGAGTTATGGTGTTGAATAATGTCACTGTGGTTATAAAATGGAATCATCATTTTATCCTATCAAATATTTGTGTGAATTTTGTCATAAATAGTGCATGGATTCTTGATTTATGACCAACATTTGTGAGGTCAAAGTGGCCTTGACTTTTGACGTTTGAACACCAGATTCTGATCAGTTCATCCTCGAGTCCAACTGGATGCTTGTGCCAAATGTTAACAAATTCCCTCCAGGCATTCCTGAGATATCGCATTCTCGAGAATGGGACGGACGTACGAACAACCACTCATTTGTTGTGCCTTTTAGTGAACATAATATTTGTATTAACTATATTAAATAATAATTTCTGATTTATTATCATATATAATCATACATTTATGTTTTTAATTCTATAATACGTTTCATGTTTAATGCTTGAGAAAAGTCATCATCAAGTCAGTTCATCGTAAATTAAACAGAAGCTGGGTGTGGCACAGAGAGAAGAGGTCAAAATCTGTGTAAATGTTGATAATAAGTAACTAATCTGTGCCACGTGAGACCCAAAAAAAACTAAATTCAATTCAAAGTGTACAAGCTTCGAGGTGTGCTTTCAGAAAGGGAGGGAAGAATGTAGTAGGAGGTGAAGCTTGATACCATTATGACGGCTTGGACATGTACTAATTGTTTATGTAACCACAACCTTCCTCTGATAACAAGACTAGGCCAAAAGCTAATACATGGCTGAACAGGTATGGTGCTAAACTGTGGCCATATTCTTACATTGATATTAAATGTTCATCTGCAATTTTCCATTTATGTTGGTTAACATTTCCAAAAACCTGTTTCTTATTCTTCTAACATACAAAGTCTCTCTGATTGAGTCAGAAGGGCCAGATTACCACATTCCTTCCAGTTATTGTGTCCAATAGTTGGATATGCATGTGAATTTACCCTCCCTACTCCAAACTCCTCTCTATGTTTGACTAATTTTACTGTAAGAGGACACTAACAAACCTCCTACAAGCACAGAATACACGTTGCCACATTCACCTTTATCCTCTATACTGACTTTGCATGCCGTTGCACAGTTAACACTACTTCCCTGTTTCATTCAGCTTACATAATGAGTCATTGAGAAAGGAAGTTGACATTATTGACTGGAGAGAGAGCTCTGTTAAAGCTACATGAGAAGATAAAAGTATCCTCGAACACACAAAGGATGAAAACCTATTTCATCCTTAAGATTTTATTTAAGCTACACCAAGTTTTGGATACTAGTTATGGTCAGCATTTGTTTGGCAATAGCCATTCAGTGTATTTACGTGTGGCGAAGTCTGCCATTCAAATTGTCTGCCTACGTACAAGGGATCCAAATATGCATGATCTCATTGATATCAGCCTCACTGGTTACTGGTCAATCTCCTACAGCTACATCACAGCTTTAAAACAAAAAAAGTTCTACTGCGGCTGTTTTATTAAAAGTATTCGGCTGAAGAAACGTGGGTCGGCCTTTATTGTGAAGAAGTCACAGGAAGGAAACACAATATATCTGTTGGAGGAGTTTTAAATATCTTGAAATATCTAGAAATCTTGTCTAGGTATGTTATGTTTCTACATAAAACATCATCTAATTTTGATTTCTAATGATCAAAATATGACAAATATTGTGCCTAAAAGTCTACCAAAAGAAGAATGATGAATATTTTTGTATCCTGCTGAACAGCGGCCACTGTGGCCACAAGTGGTAATTACAGTATAATGGTAAACGCTAAACCATAACAATAACACAAGCCAGAAAGTCAGAGGTCAGAAAACTAAGCTACAGGTCAGAGGCGTTATTGAGTGAATGTATTGATGTATTGATTTTAAACAAAGGTGTGTTTTATTGGTTATGAGTTCAAGTCACACAATGTCCCTTTAAAATGTGGATGTGTCGTGTACTCAGGTCCCTCTGGGTTGTGGGTAATAAACTGGCTGCTCTTTCTCATGGAATAATCTTCTTTAAGTCAACACCAACACAGCAAGACAGTTTAAAACACACACAAATCCTCTCTCAGGTTACAGACTTCCCCCGTACAACAGCAGCAGGTAGGAACTTAAATTACCCCGAAGCAAAGGGGGCAAATAATACGATAACTGTGGAATTATTCCAACTCAAATATATTATGTACCAAGAAACAGTTACAGTAATTAAGTTAATCTACACATTAAGTGGAAACCAGACCAGTTTACTTCCTGGTTTGTCTACTTTACCTCCCGCGTGAAGCACCGACGTCATGATGGAGGGCACCCAGGAGGTTTCGCTGTTTGTGGCGTGGAACTCATTCTGCAGGTCGGTGTAGAAGATTCCCACACAGGAAGGGAATGCCAGGGTCAAAGCCAGGACCATGATGGTGGCAACCAGCACCACCCAGCCCCAACCGCCATCTGGAGCTTCGACAACTCCCGTTACAGCCACGGAGCTTCCTCGTCCTCCGTCCTCGGATTCACAGTCCTCTGGAACCTTCTCCCGCTCCATACCTTTGGCCCGCTCGCCAACCACGGCGGCCTCCGAGTGGAGGCAGCGATCGCTCGTCCCTCTGATTCCATTTCTCTGAGTCATTTTCTGCTTGGCAGCTCAGGCAGCGCTCCTGTGTTAGCTCTGCAGGGTGTGTAATTACTTTTGAGGCCCATGTCACTATAACTGCTGCGACCTTCACGGACACCTAAAAACAACAAAGCAAACTATTATAGAAGAAACTGAATCACTTAAAAGTTTTATTTTCTGTCTCCTGACTAACTTTAGTCATTTTAGTGTGTGGAGGCAAACTATTCTAATCTATTTCTCATTGATTAACATGTGAGGACAGTATAAAAGGTCACTTCTGTGAGGATTTACATCTTATTCTCACATGGGAATACAGCTGCACGATATGGTTAAAACATCAAATTGCGATTATTTTAGCAGCTATTACGATTATGATACGATTAGTGGGAAACAAACATGTTCTCTTAAATCCAGAGAATTGAATATGAAGAATTTATGGACAAGAGAATCTCTGCAGAACTACAGTACTTCATTAGAAGGCTGAAAGTTTGTCACACATTTGACCTTTTACCTAACAATTGCACAATAGCTGAGACAAACTATTCAAATCTATTTTTCGTTGATTAACAGGTGAGTTGAATCTTTTGTATTATTGTTAGGACAGTATAAAAGGTCTGTTCTGTCACACCTTAACTCACATGGGATTCAACTTGCTATAGAAACTGGATATGTTGCTTTCCCACTCCCCGATTAGCAAGAAACCGCTTCATACAGGAATCCAAAGGAGCTACCAGACATAAGATAAGGTAAAATAAGAATAAGATTCAGGGGATGAGCTGTAGAGTTGTTTCCTGGTTGTAAACGAGTATAAATAACCGTATCTATTGTTTTATTTTATTTATTATCTTTCATCATTGTGCAACCTTGTGTTGTATAATGATAAACAAACTTCCTCGAATCCTTTACTACACATTGCACATAGTCATTTGCTCTATTATTAATTTTAAAACATTGATTAGAGCAGTTTTAACGGAGCCTGATAAGAAACCCTACAGCCTCTTGCTTCAGCTTGACCAGGAGACAGTCGACAGCTGGTCAACAGGCCTCAGGCTATGAGTGTATGGACAGAGGTAAACAACAGGGAATGGGACAATAACTGCCTGCTCTTTTAAAACCAAGCAATAAAACAGTACCTGGTGCAGGGAAACCAACTGGAAAAGTGCTCAAATCTTTTGTACAAAGCTGAAGGCGATCAGTAAAGGCAGTCCAAGTTACAGTAATGTCAACAAAGGTATGAATCAGGGTCTGTACCTGAAAGGAATTACCTAGTCCTGGCAATGCTCCTGAGCTGGCAGATGGAGGTCTTCGTGATATTGCTGTTCAAAGAAAGCTTCAGACCTCTTGTCTCATGTGCCACAACTAATTTCCTGTCGGTGCTTTGGGGCTAAAACACCATCACTTCAGGTTTTTTTTAAAATAACAATTTCAAATCATAAAAAGACATGCAGGACTTTATGTCTGCGGGTCAGAACTCTGAGTGAATTAACAAAGAAGAGGTCTGACTGGATTTAAGGAATCTGGCTCGGCATGAGACTAACACACAGTTGTGAAAACCTTTGAATGAAAAAGCCCTCTGTGCAAATGTTCCAGTAGAATTTCCCCCCGAAGACATTTACCAACTACCGAGCAGTGCAGCATCTTCTGACATTATGTTCCTGATCATGCAACTTTAATGTCTCTGCACTCACCTGATCGTGGGGCATTGCAGTGGTTTTACAAACTCCATTTTCCCCAGCAGCAAAACTCGTAACGCAAACAGCCAAACTGACTTGCAGATTCTTATCTTTGAATCCAAATAATCCGCCATAAAACAGTTTGTTGTGTTTACTTATCAAACAAACAAGATACAACACGTTAATCAGTGAGCTTTATATTTCAGAACCTGTTCTATTTGATGTCCTGAGATAACTTATGTTATGATTTGGTGCTGTAACAAATAAACCTGAACTGAACTTTATTGGTGCTGCTGGACAGATGCTAAGCTAGGGAAGGGAACTGATAAGATGTTACTGATACCAATGCCATCGACTCTGCTTATCTCCCCATTCCTGATCAGTTTTCTGTGTGGAAACCTAAAAGTTTTATTATCTCAACTGGAGCCGGTCCTCGATTACTATCCCTATGCTAAGCTAGCTGTTTCTCCAGGGTCTTTCCTATGTTTCTAAGGTCACATATTTCCCCAAGTTTCTACATATGTGCTCTCCCAGGGTCCCATAGGACTCTGGGAACATATAAGGCACTTTTCCCCCGAGCTTGATATTTACCGTGTGGACCCGACCCTTGGTAAGAAAGCAAACACGTTTCCAAAATGTTAAAACAAAAAAAAAAGGGTAAACTTATATTTAATAAAGGACGAGTGTGCAGGATACAGTGACATCTAGTGGTGAAGTTGCAGAATGCAACCAACTGAATACAGCTCAGCCTTCCAAGCGTGCCATTAGATCCACCTTTAATGTTACACACCGGACCTTTAGGAAAGTTTAAAGACTGGAAATACAGTCAGAACAAAGTGGAAGATGCTTTGCTCTCGGACTCAGAGGTAATGGTAACGTAAGTACACACA